TCTGGGAAAACTCTGATATTATACATTTTGAAAACAAAGTTGTAATGATGTTTAATGGTTTGAAATGTTTTTAAAAGTTTAAATTGGTTTGAATTTTTGGGTGTTACACTTCTAATAAAAAATGAAATTACAATACATAAGTTAGCTGTTTTTCTATCAGCATAAAAGAATACATATATGAAACACCAATTGCTTTTCTGTTTCCTTATTTCTTCTCAATGGACCTAACATAAAAATAACTAGATTAATTCATCTGTTTGAACCTTTTATCAACAACCATTGTCTATGAAGTATGAAAATATTTAAATGGATATGATCTTACTTGTACTGTTAGTAGAAATTGGTGAGATTGAAAACCATATCTTTGAGTAATCTTGTTGGTTCTTTTATCTTCTTTAGTATCCAAAACCTACATCAAGTCTTATAATCATTAATGATTATAACTCAATGCTTACCTCTTGATCTCTGGATCTCTAGTAATCATTAACGATTAATGATGCTGGTGCTTGCCTTTTGTAGTGCATCCAAATCTTGCTTTTATCGTCTCATGCTACCATCTTGATCTATATGCCTCTTATATCCAACTGCTATAAGTTAGAGTGAGACTCAACCATCGATTTCAATCCAAAACAGAAAAAAGAAAAAGAAATTCGTTGTTCTTCTCTTCTTCTTCTTCTTCTTCGATTTTTGTTAAAATCAAACAAAAAAAACGGAAAGCAGCCCAAATGATTTTTGACCTGTTTCCGTTCATTTTCACTTGATCAGACGAGGATCGAACATTACCCAATCGATTATGCCTCCCGATCCCTGCTCCGTTCGTGAATCCTTCTCTTCCGATCAACAACAATACGGAGATCCTATTCCAAAAACAGAAAAGAGAAAAAGAAATCCATTGTTCTTCTCTTCTTCTTTGATTTTTGTTAAAATCAAACAAAAAAAACGGAGAACAACCCAAATGATTTCTGACCTGTTTCCGTTCATTGTCACTCAATCAGACGAGGATCGAACATTCCCCAGTCGATTATGCCTCCCGATCCCTGCTCCGTTCGTGAATCCTTCTCTTCCGATCAACAGCAATTCGGAGATCCTATTTCCCTTTCCTTTTTTTTGGATTCATCGATTCCAATCAGCCCCACCATTCTTTTCCCTTTTGGTGGTGGATCAATGATGTAGGGTGGAGGTGTACCTAGGTTTACAGAGATAGATTGAAACATCCCGAAAATACGGTCCAAAATTTTCGTTTTAAAAATCATTATTTAAACCATACAACATCCATCATCATAATAAAACAAAAACCATGTATCTCAAAAACATCAAGTCAAATATTGTATCAAATCATAGAAGTAATCATCAGAGTCTAAAACAATCCCAGGTTGAAACTGTGGTGTGTGTCATGCGATCATCCCGAGCCCTTCCCTTTGTTAGCTGAAGTACCTGAAACCAAAACTGAAAACTGTAAGCACGAAGCTTAGTGAGTTCCCCCAAGCTACCACATACCATACACATAATCACATATTGGGCCTAACCCACTGCATCGGGCTACGCCCCGCATCGGACCGAGGTCCGGCATAACTTGGGCCCCGCCCGACATCAGACCGAAGTCCGGTATACATATCATATCAACAAGTATATCATGAACACAAAAATAAACATAACATAAAAACTAACATTCCTCGGGCTTGCCCCGGCATCGGACCAAGGTCCGGAACACATAATTTATTCCATGAAAAATAAAACACAAACATAAAACATTATAGAAAACGAGACACACAAGTAGCAAACATTACATAAGACATTTCACATATAAGAGCCTTCTACATGAAATATTTTTTATTTTTAACTAAAGTCCATGCATCCTCATACTCGAAGTCACTTCCCTCGTGCTCCAAAATGTAATGATCTTTAACCATTTCTAAAAGATCTTCGTCGTTGTTTGGATAACAATACCTATTTTTAAGATGATGATACCATCGATTGAACCATGTGATTTTTTCCTTTAAATCCATCCACTTACCAACAATGTCTTCTTGTGTTCGGTGTTTTCCTTCTCCCAACGAGAGGTTAAACATAGCTGTTATGCGGGTCCATTCATCACCTTTAAAGCAATCAGGGTTAACCATGGTTGTTACATCCTCGTAAATGTTCATCCAACATCGTGTTACTACCATTACCTCTCTTATCGTCCATGGATGTGGAGTATTGGACGGAGCAGCTGCATAGGAAGAAGTTGTTTGATTGGAGGCTATTTTATAAATTTGTTTGTTAGTTTGTTTTAATTTTATAGGAGTACTTAAATAAGAAAAAAGACTGACAAACAATTAGGTAGATTCCCATAAGTACTGTTTGAAACTACATTATGCAGACTACAAAGCAGTAGTCAAAGTCTATAAAACCGTAGTCAAATAATTGTCAAAGAGTAGTCCAATTGCCAGATACCTTACACGGAGATACTGTTTGAAACGACAAATATACTATTGGAATAACAAAACCCGATAGTGTATACAAAACCCGATAGTGTATACACATAAGGTTAAAGTCTATAAATATTTTTTTTAATTAATTAAATATACCTTCAAAGGAATAACAAAACCCGATAGTGTATACACATAAGGTTTTGTTGGATGTTTGGACATATGATCCTCAAATTTTTTAAACATACCCGACAATTTAGGGTATGTTTTACTCCATAGATAACTCCCCCAACGATTCCTATATTTAGAAACAAAAATATTAGTTAAACGTATAAAAAATAGTATTTTATTAAAAATATTAAATTGACAAATACCTATTCCATCCATCCAGGTTCTCCACCACCCACAAAAATTCATTGGTGACTTCATAATTAGGCCCTTTTCCCAAAAAACCTTGATTCAGAATATATAACAAAATGGCACGGACACCGTCGTGAGCCAATATTTCATTGAACCGTTGATTCAAGATAAGGAGCTCTAAATCTTCTACAAGTAAACTAGTGTCCGTACGATATGGGAAGACTCTGGACCGAAATGTATTTTCACCGTATCCGTGTTTTTACATTGTTGAAAATTCGATCCTTGATCTAGGACACCGACCCATGTAAAGTCTGGACACAATATAAAACTCCTCGGGGCCAAATTATAATGTACATCTAGAATACCTAAAATGTAGACGCTCTGATGCGTCCGTTTCAACAGTAGGACGCAACATATGCAGTAACAACCCATGAATAAGAAGTTCGTCTCCAGACTGAGCTGGAAGCTCCAACAAGTAACCGAAGCTAGTTGTTGAAAAAATATCTCGCACTTGTCCGTTCAAGCCACTCAAAACTTCATGCAACTTATGACATGAAGCTTTGACAGATATGTTACACATCATCCTTTTGTTTGGAAGCTACAAAATTAAATAAACATTAAAGTTAAATAAGGTTTTATAAAATAAAACAATGTTAAAGAAGTAGACAAATCACACAATATAACACTTAATCATTCCTTTCATATATTATATTTACTTTGTATAAAATACCAAAGGAAATTAATTGACAACATTTTTTGTATTTTCTATACTAATAATATACCAAATATAGCATTGTACTTTGAAAAATGGTGTGACAATAACATATTTTATAACAAACCTGAAACTCCCAAAACACAATGTTATTTTATCAATACATTATACTTCAAAGTATCTACACATTATAAACATATAAACTTCTTCAAATAGATAGTACATTGCTATTGTATGCTATAATCGAGACATAGAAAATAACATACTTTTTCACAAAATGCAAACATGGAATCATAACATATATACAATCGTTAAAATTCCGTAGGAACAATTTTTTTTTTGAAGAAAAATGAAAAAAAAAATATAAAACCGTAGGTTTTATGAAACCTACAGTTTCTTTCTTTTTTTTTTCAAAAAAAAAAAATCACAGAATCGACAATATATACAAATGTTTATTGGTTAAATTTTTTTTTAATAAAAAACCGAAAAAAATAAAACCTACGGTTTCACAATTTTTTTAGTTTTATAAAAAATAAATCATGAAATAATACTATATATACAATTCCGATCATGTTGGATCAAATTATAAAAAAAAACCAAAAAAAATCCGTACGGTTCATACGAAACCGTAGGTGTACAAGCCGACACTGCACAATCTGTGCATTGGGCACTTGTACACCGTAGGTTTCGTATGAAACCTAAGGTTTTATTTTTTTTTTTTTCGATTTTTTTTCAAAAAAAACTTAACCCCATATACAAAACCTCATCCTAATCACGAACACGGTGAAATTTTGATGAAAAGTAGACAAACTTGGTTGTTCTTCGGGTGCTCCATTGAGAGAAAAAAGTAGGCAAACCAACAAACCAATAGTGAAAAATGACATAATATGAAAAATTAAACATTATATACTTTGGGTTAATGGGCCACGAAAAAGTAAAACGGACTGTGAAATAGTAGTCTATTACCACGAAAGAGTAGATTTCAAGTAAAACAGTAGTCAACGCCGGTTGAGCGTAGTCAACTGTATGTTGACTACTCTTTTGTGGGTTATTTTTGGCTAAGATGTATTTTTTGATAAGTAATTAACCATTATGGCTAGATTAGTAATTTCCCCAATTAAAATGAATTTAAATAACCATAAACTTTAGTAACCTAGTTGTACATGATCCTAATTAAGTGCTTGAAAAAATTCAAAAAATGCATTAACAACTAATAACATTTTGAATAAAACTAAATGATTAAAAACTTTAAAAAACAAAATTCACAATAGTGACACATAATTTCATATTCTTTAAAAAATGTCCACAGTTTAAAAACTTTAAAAAGCAAAATTCACAATAGTGACTACATAGTTACACATAATTTCATATTCTTTAAAAAATGTCCTCATGAAACATGGAAAAAATATGTTGCCAAGCTAGAACCAACTTGCACCGCCCTAATTTTTTCTGGGTCCTTCTACAATTTTCATTTTACCCCTTCACTTTTCGATATTTTCAAATTCACCCTTTCTTCCCCACCAGTTCCCAAACAAAGAACGCGTGAGACACACAAACAGGATACGTATAGATAGGTTAAGAAGGCCTGTCATCTATCTTCTCTTTCATCACCGATTCATAATTTATTCACAAGATACACAAAATCCATACGAAACGTCCATATTTCCGCTCTTGCACGATTGCTTCTCGTCGGAATCAGATTCGCTGAAATATACACGAAAGACTTGAACTAGGGTTTTGACAGGGAGGGAATTCGAAGGATTATTTTGGTTTTGAATAGTAATTATGGCAAAGAAGAGAAAATCTCTTGCGACGAGTCTAGACGAAGTCGATCGGACGATGTACTCGACGTTTTGCAGTGCCGCTAACTCTCTTTCTCAGCTTTACTCTCAGGCCCTTAGCCACCAGAAGCTTTCTTTCCTATCTGGCGAACGTCATGGATTGGTATATAATCTACGAATTCATTTCCAATTGTATGATGATATGTGCTTTGATCTTATTAAGTGACTTATTAAACCCTAGTTTTTCATTTCTCACTATGTGTTTTTGATGTGCTTTCTGATGCTTATACCAATCTATGTACATGTCCTGGATCTTCTCTTGAATGTGGTGAACAAATTGATTAGGGCAGGGCTGTTGTGGGGCGACCTTTTGCTAGGAAAAGTTTAAGTTCCTCTTTCTTCAATTTAATACTGTGTATTTAGTGAAGAAATGCACTGGGTATACCAAGTATTGTGTTGAAATAACCTAAGATTAGTACCCAAGAAGTTGTAAGAGAAAGCATAGGTATAACAGATCACAATACAAATGTGGTAACATAAAACCATAGGTGCCTATGGTTTTCACATTGTTCAACGCCTATGAAAGTTAAGCATAAATGTGCTCACATTTCTTGTTGATGTTTATTCAAGCAGATTCATTTTTCTATTTGAGTTTTTCCACTTGTTGTTATCAACTTATTATTAGGTTTTTCATTTACAAATTTGAAATATCTGTTTTTAATGGCTTGTTTGTGCAGGAAAAGCTGTATCAATGGATTTCCAAGCAACATGGGGAAGGATTGAGAGTGACCTCTGATGACATACTAGCCTATATCCAGGTTTCCATTTCATATTTAATACTAATACTATTCGTTCCATAACACTAAGTATATACAAGATTCTTATTAAATCTTTTTTCGTGCTAAGTCTAATGTATGTTGATGTTAATTTGCAGGCTGAGCTGGAATCATATGTGGAAGAACCATCAATGACTCCAAGAACCCTACAAACACAACAACAACAACAACAACAACACACACAATCTCCTTCTGCAAACCCATTTACAAATTCAAATTCTGGGTCATCTAGTGAGCAGCAACAACAACAACCAAGAAGCTACATATTCTCAAATGCTCTCTCAAGCCCTGTTCGTCGTAGCCTTCAAAACTATCACATATCTCAGGAAGGATATGCTAAGAATACCAACAATGAACATCACAATCCATCTTCTTCAATGGACATGCATCCAGACTCTTCTACTCAATAATACTAATAATAATAATAATATGTTTCCCCATTCTCCATTCTCCAAATCCCAAATTCAATTCAAAATGGAAGAGACTGGAGGGGAGGGAATTGCACAAGCCCAAATAGTGAGCAAGCTTGGGTTGGATTTCAGTTGCTGCATCAAGGTAAAGGTAAGGTAGGTCTACTATTATTATCATTACTATTACTATTACTATTACTATTACTATTACTATTACTATTACTTTTACTATTACTATTATGGTTATGGTGGGATTTCAAAGGAATATATTTATAGCATTGTCATGTTGCTAGTTGTGCACTGCGGATCATCTTTTCATGTTTTATGTAAAAAAAGTGAACCATCAAATTCAAATGTTGCTTTTTTTTTTAATTTCATTTTTTCCTAGTATGTAACTGTATCCTTAAATCTGTTTAATAGTCATGGGGTCCAAATCCAAGGCTTTTTTGAATGGTTTAGAAAACTAGAAGCATTGATTGAGTGGTTGAGATTGAAAGAAAATCAACAGAGAATGCTAGGTTTGACTTTTAAAAGTTTTCGTTGAAATTGGGTCTTAGGTTTTGAAAAATACATGAAGGATATGTTGTAAACAAGCGGGTAAAAAATGTGTCAAAACAAAGTTGTAGAAAAAATGTGTGAAAATTTTGTTTAAACAAAGTTGTGTGAAAATTTTGTTGAAACAAGTTGGAGGATTTGAAAAAGCCAAAATGGTTGGGGTAACATGAAAAACTTATAGCAGGTCAAGCTAAAAAAATAAATATAATCCTTATCATTACTAAGATTGTTTTACATATATAATATGGGTACGATGGTATCAAGCTTTTTAGATTTTCAAAGAGCCTATGGTGCCAAAGATCGATTTCAAGCTCAATGACTACGAAAATGGCTGATAGAGAGTCAATCCAATCTTCAAATATGTAGAAATATCTTACTATAATTTGAAAGAAATCAAAACTTTACAATATCTCTCAACTACAGAACACAACATGCCAAAATTGTTCGGCACACCATAACTTAACAAAATATAACATGATATCATAAAAATTTCAAGTAACAGAAGTCGGAAAACCTATAAACCATATATTTTCAAGAGTACTATGAAATGTACTTGATGGAGAGAGTTCATTGATAGTTTCAACGTGAGGATTATTGTCGTTCAATTGGCCTCGTGATTCTAGGGCAGTTGCCACTTATGACTAAGATCACCAACAACAATGCATGATTTACTAAAATAGTTGAATGGAGTTGAATGTTAGTGGACACTTAATGGATTAAATCCAAACATACTGGGATGATAACTGATAAGTTGTCATTTAGTTGATTTGAGGTTTAGTGACTATGAAACCTTTTAATGGGAAAAACAACTTTTTTAAAGATTCTATTGAAATTTGTAAAATTCAATGCACTACAGGAATTAATAGTAAAATAGTAAGATTGTATGAAAAATAATAGTAGAATAGTAAAATTGTATATATCAATTAAATAAAATTCAACTTACTAAAATTCAATTTAATAAAATTCAACTTAGTAAAATAGTAAAATTGTATATATGGTATAATAAAATTTAACTTAATAAAATTCAACTTAATAGTAAAATAGTAAAATTGTATGAAAAATAAAATACTAATGTATCAATTTATTAAACTTAATAAAGTTAACTGTCTTTTAGATGCTATTTATGATTAGCAGACAAACATAAAATTCATCTTTTTGATTAACATTCTAAGGGTTTGGCATGTATTGCCACATGCTTATTGTAAACGTTTTAAAAAAAGTTATGCATCTAAATATTAAAATTCCCATGCACATTTATTTAATTATATAAGAAATAAATACAAAAATTGTTGATGTCGACTACTATCACATTATATATATATATATATATATATATATATATATATATATATATATATATATATATATATATATAAGATTTGAGTTTTTTATAAGTAATAAATGGTATATTTTAGAAAAATAAAAAAAACCAATAAACTTGTTGAAATGTTAATTTGAAATAACTTTTAAAAAAGTTAGTTTATAAACCGACTTTACGAGCACAAAAATCATTGCAGCTGGTTATTGTTATATTTAATTATATTGTTAGTCAAATATATAATGTATCCATTTTGAGAACTCTATTTCTATATTAAGTTTCTTTGAAGAAAACAAAGATGTCTATTTGAAATTTTTATACTATTTTAAAGCCTATTATTTTTATTGTTTAATTTGTTGTGAAACTTTGATAGGTAAATGGGTTTGACCGATTATAAATATTGCCATTTCACATTTGTTGGCATATTTTTCTATTAATTTATTTTATTTTTAATATGTTATAGATTGATTATAAGTTTATAATTAAATAATATACCGCTTACTCAAAATATAATTTGACTAGTTGAATATTAACTTTGAAAGAATGTTTCTTTTACAAGTGTCTCCTAATCATTAACCGTAATTGATTATTTATTACAACATTTAGTTAAAGTTAAGGAGGAGGATACCCTTAAATAATAATTATTTTAATTTCTCTTAATTTAAATGTATGATACTTTTTTTTGTTAATATATCCCTTTTATGTATTATGACAAAAATTTACGTTTATTATTCAGTCAGTAAAAATTCACTGATCGACAGCTCTTCGTCCGTACATATATATACAGACACGAAAGAGGAGTGAATACAATAGCGCAGTTTTCTTTGTTTCAGAGGATTCTCCGGCAATCGGAGGCAAATGGAATATTATCCCCGACGAGAAGGCGCCGACATATGAGCTGAGTAAAATTTACTCCATTGCTACTCTCGGATCCGTGAGTCCTAATCTTCCGTCCACCCTATCTATAAATTCGTTTTCAGTTTTCCAAATCACGAGTTTCGTTGTACTTTTTCACTTTAAATCAATTAGGATCTTCGGTCTTCCTACGAATTAATGTATCTGATTTGAATTGTTCCTTTTGTTGATTACTTCTGTTGATCTGATTCCATGTTTTAGATCGCAATTTCATCGAATCTTCAGGATTTAATTTTTGATTTTTTCTCCAGAGGTTCATAACTTCATATCACGGAATTTGATCTTACTGCCATTTCGATTTCGAAGATCAAAAACCTCCTAATCTGCTTTTCACCATAGATTCATTGCTTTGACTGGTATTGACCTTTTGTAAAGCATTTCAAACAGCTTTGAAAAGAAACACCAACAATCATTCAGTTGAAAATTTTCAATCGAATCTGCTGTGTTGCCGGAGTTTTTTGACTTAACTTTCACAAGGATATAAGGATCTCGAAATTCGAATTTGATAAAGTTCAGTTTTCCTTTTCCGCTTCAAAACTTTGTTGACTTTCATCAAGTGGTTTGAGTTCTTTCATACTGGTATATAGAAACAGAAGTTCACATGATGAGGACAACTACTGATGCTACTGATAGTGAGTTGTTCTTCATTCTTTCAACTATAGTAATGGTTTGAACCTTCTTCTACAATTGATCTGGAAAGAGAAGAGGAAGAAGAAGAAGCTCATGAGAGTTTCCCCATTGAATCACTACCAGTTGGTGGACATAAAACCAGACCCTGACCTCCAACTGGCTTCAACAAAGAGCCATCTTGTCCATGGCTGCACCTCCTTTATTTGCTTTGGTCGTGCAGCCACAGGACCTGAGAGTAGTCCATCTCACCTGAAACTAGACCCTTCCCTCCACCCACAACCACAACCACAACCACAACCACAGGATGATCTTAAACATTCTCCTGAGTCTGAAAAGGTCACCAAAACTTGTACCACTGATCTTGATCTTGATAATTTTGAAAACAAAAATGGAGATGCTTTAAAGAGCAGCTTGAAGAGACCAAAAACGAGTGTTATTGCTTCTGTTGATGTTAATGGGGGTGAATGTAAGAACGAGTGTGGTGATACAGAAACAAGAAAAGTGCAATGGACAGATGTGTTTGGGGGAGAGCTATTTGAAATTCGTGAATTTGAGCCAAGGTACACAAATTTAGATTTTTATGTATATGTAAAATTCAAGTAATTACATTGTAGCAACAAATATGTGATCTTATGAGTGAATATTTTATGTTATAATTGCTTGATCTTCATATTGTTTTCTTTAATGTTCTTCTTTGATTCACATTTCTGCTCATTATTGTAGTGAACACGATGGCTCAGATGATGAATCTAACTGGAATGAAGGAACATGTACGTGCATGATAATGTAATTTGTACTCCACCACCACCACCACCACCACAATCAACAGCATCACCGCCAATACTGCCGCCACTCACATATCTACATCTGTCTATATATCATTACTTATGGAGTTCAGTTTTGTTTATTTAAGGGCTTTCCCTTTTGTTTATGTTCTTGTAGGCAGTTGTGTTCTTTGTTTGTTTCAAAATAATGTGCTGTTTGATTTCCATATTTTATTTTATTTTTGTGTTAATTTGAGAGTAGGTTTTTGTTTTCTATTAGTTTTTATGTAATGGGAATTTTGAGAAAGTTTAAATTTATGTAGCAGTTATGATGTTGTTGGTTACAAGTTCTGTTCCTAACATGTGTATGTTTGGTTTTGTGAGCTTTTAAATTTTAAGAAAAAACTCAGATTAAAGAAGAAGTAAAGTTCGGGGGTATGATGAGTTTAAAATTTTTATTCTAAACAAAAATCTAATAATCCAAAAGTTTCTTAAAAAATCTTTTGAAAGCTTTTAGATTTTAGATTTTATGTTATTTTATACATTTCCAAAAGCTTAAATGTATTTTATATTTTATGTTATTTTATAGCTTTCATCTTCTAGGTGCGAGCTAGTTTTGCCAAAAATACTCAATGTTTTAGTTTTCAAGACTTCAATTTGGTTTATTTATCGAACAAGTTTTTGGTTATTTATGATAAAAAGATATTGGTGGTCGAAAGTTAAAAATACTATTATATTTTATGTAAGACACCGAAAATACATTATCAAAATGACAAAAAATGATACATGCTCCTATTATGCATAGAAACCAAAAAGAATACGTTGTTATTATATGCATTTAATGTTTAGTTGAAGTTGCGATAAACACAGAAAAATGCTAACAAAAATTAACAAAACACAATGTTTTATGTGTTTCATACGATTAGAGTAATTGTGCTCATACACGAGTGAATTAGAGAGATTTAATTAGATTTATAGTATATAACTATCATACACATTTTCTGCTTTTAGTTAAAAATGTACAAAAAGATTTATTTATAAGAACAACATTCAACTTACAACGGTTTACATGCAATTTATAAATAAAAAATGATTCCACTATGATTGTTAAAAAATCATTTTTAAATATATATTCATGAGACTTTTTGGGTTTTTTTAGGATAATAGTTTATCTAAAAAAGAAAAGACTTGTCAAATGTCAATCTTAGAAAACTTGGCCACATCTTATCCGCAAAACACTAGTGATTCTAACAAGTACACCTTCCACAGCCCCCTTCCCTTTTCATGACCAAAAACAAAACCCTAAATTCATTCACAAGATTCAGAAAATGTCGGTAGCTTCAATCCAATGCATCAGAATATCGAATTCGTCATCAAACGCACATACTTTTAGATTCTCTACAACCAAGCCTACAATAGTTACTATACGCAGCGCTCAAGCCGATGGCCCTTTGCGAAGACCTTCCATTGCTACTCCGCCTGTAAGACCTTCCATTCCTCCGTCTCCATCTACGAATCCACCACCGCCTCCGTCAGCTCCGGCGAAGCCTTTGGCGGAAACAGCGGCGGTTGGTCAGAATGTAATAACGATGGAGTTTCAGAGGCAGAGGGCGAAAGAGCTTCAGGAGTATTTTAAGCAGAAGAAGCTTGAAGAGGCTAATCAAGGGCCTTTCTTCGGTTTTATTGCTAAAAATGAAATTTCAAATGGCAGGTTTGTTTCATCTCCTCTTAATTTTACCTCCAAATAAATAAAATAATGATTTTAATTTTATATGTTACAGTATGTTTTTATTATATATTATATGCTCAATGAGCTGACTATAAATTGTTTCTTTGTTACTTAATTTGAATAGAATGAGCAAATGACTTCATCTGGAGATTTATCGTTACCCATTCAGTTACATTATACACACCATTCATTTAGCCTATGCATACAGAACTTAATGATCTTGTATAGTAATTTAACAAAGATAATGATATTTTTAATGTTGGTTTTTAATTATTTTTGATGAATTAGATGGGCGATGTTTGGATTTGCTGTGGGGATGTTAACAGAATATGCAACTGGATCGGACTTTGTTGATCAAGTAAAGATACTACTATCCAACTTTGGCATTGTAGATTTGGAATGAAATATATACATGTTTATATTTTTGTTGTAATATATGTTAACTTTTTACATTATTGTTTCATTAAATTTTACAAGATTGAAACATTGATTTTTCTTGTAAGTAAATTGTGATGGAATGGAAGTCTATATAAAAATTTTCAATGTAAGAAAACAATTGGGTAAATGAAGCAACTATTAATCATATAAAAAAATACTTGTAATTTCTACATCATATATACCAACAAAATTCTATTCAAGGGTTGAGTTTGGATTAATTTGGATAAAAGGGTTTATGTCTGTTCTCCTTATCTGCTTAAGTATTTATTTATATTTAGATGCTTAAATAAGCTTAATCTTGTTGGACATTTCTCAATTGATTGGCCGATTAGATTCTATTTAATTATATTCCACTTTTCAACTTTTATTCACTAATAGATTTGTTTCTGATTGATATATATATTTTTTCCAAATTCTGTGAACTTTATAATATTTATATCTTAATAATAGATTACATTGGTTTCATGTTGGAGAATTAATATGAGCATGTTCAACAATGAGCTCTTAAACTTTTTTTAAAACTGAATATTTTATATTTTAAAAACTACTTCAACTAGCTTTTAGTTTACATATTTCAAAAACAGTTTTTCTTTTTGTCAAATATTTTTATATTAATAAAACCTACAATTAGTAGAGTAGTTTACATTAACCTATATATCAACATTTTTTAGTAGAGTAGTTTATGTTAGTGTATCCCACATCGGTGCGATACGGTCTTATAAGTGGTTATATATGTTGGAGTCTTCTATCTTTTACCAATGTTTTTTTTGGAGAGACTGGCTCATCGTTTCTTATACTGAATAAGTATGTATATCATGATTTAATATTACTATGGGAATCTATTTTATATATATATATATATATATATATATATATATATATATATATATATATATATATGGAAAAGTTAAATAGAGAACCATAATTATTGGTTCTTCAAAGAACCAAATCTTTTTTTCAATTTCTAGATCTTATTCTTTATCGAAAAAAAAATCTAAAAATATCTAAATTCATATATTAACATTGTGAATTTGACGTAAAAATTTAAAAAAAACAAAAAATTCGAATTTGATATCATTGGAAAAAGGATAAAAAGTTATGAATTTCTGTATTTTTAGTTTTTTTTTTTTGATAAAAAATAAGTTGTAAAAGTTGAAAAAAAAAGATTGGTTACTTGGTTATATATATAACTCATAATAATAGGAAAATAACTTATAATCATCATTTTTTTTAACGGCGAGCAAGAAAATATATTAACAAAAAAAGAAAGATTTAAACAAGACGCTCAAGTCAAATTACAAGAAGTTTGAAATAGAAGACAAAGACCAATCCGGTCAATGTAAAGTACAAAATTTAGACCTAAGCTTTTAAGAATCATAATAATCATATGATGCAAATTTTAGACGTTTTTCCTTCTTAAGAGAGTCATGTAGCAATAATGACTATAAAGATGGTTAACTTTATCCGCTAATGTCATGTGTATGTTGGTTTAATGAATATGGTGTTCAATGAACACTGATATTAAATGAGAATATATATATATATATATATATATATATTTGTGAACCATTTTATCATTTATATATATATCATTTATTTGTTAACCATTTTACCGTAATATATATATATATATATATATATATATATATATATATATATATATATATATCATTTATTTGTTAACCATTTTACCGTAATATATATATATATATATATATATATATATATATATATATTACGGTAAAATGTTAACAAATAAATGATTTATTTAAAAAAAAATATGTTTTATTAACTTTTGTGAAGTTCAGAAGGATAAAATCTTCAACAAGATTGGAAGCAAATCCTCTAAATTGGCGGACAGTGTGTTCAATATCGTGTTTGGTTGGGTTAAACATAGAGAGAATTTTGGGTTTTGTAAATTGAAGGATTAGCTGATCTCATTTTATTATTTTGTAACTTTTTTTCTCCTCCTTTTTGCCTTCCCTTGCCTTGATACTTTATAGGAAATGACGTTATAAAACTTCGCCGTTTCAAAAAATAAACTTTTGTAAAGTTCGATATATTATGAAAAAGAAGTTGTAAAATTGTATGTAGTACAATGCATTTTGTATTCTCAATACCATTTAACTAAATTAAAAGGCTCAAGTCCTCTCCATACTAAATTAGATTTTTCGTTATGTTTTTTTTTGAACGGCGGGGGTATTATTAAAAACTAGCAAGGAGCTAGAAAACAAACATTACAAATGAGTGGAAGCTAAGGCTGGATTATGAAGCCAAGCAGTCCAAGCAATCTTAACTTTATTACACCTATTAGAAATCCAAAAGTACGATCTATCTATGACATTATCAAAAATAAGAGATTTCCTAGGTAAGGTTGAACCAAACAGTAAGGAATTTCGAAAATTCCAAAGACACCAAAAAGAAATCAAAACCATTGCATCAAACGCCTTCCGTTGTCCTCCTCGTAGTTAAATATGGTCCGCCCATGAAAGTAAAGTCTAAACAGAAATTTGGTTCGGGAGATGAACGTCCCACCAAATAGCAACACGGGTCCAAATATCACACAAGTCGCTACATCCAACGAAAAGATGTTCAATAGTTTCCACTCCATTATGACAAAATGGGGCATAAAATCGTATCCACCTCAATACCTCTGTAAGACAATCTCTCTCGCGTAGGAATGCTATGAAGGGACAATCTCTAGATAAAAACGTTTAGTTTAATGGGAACCCAATTATTCCATCTAGTTTCCATGCCGTCCACTGAAAGGAATCTGTTGTCGATTGAAGCAGGAGCCGAAGCAACTGAAAAAGTGTCTGAAGCGTCAAAGAGACACCCTAATCTGTCTGGACTAGAATTGAGATGAACACTCTGCATCAACAACATGAATTGGTCCCACTGAGATTGCTCAATTCCACCTCTAGGAAATCGGCGATAGTTCTCTTCGCCCCATCCAAGAGAAACACGATCTCTAACACACACCTGTTTGTAACTGTAAAAATCCTATGAAAAGCAACCGCAATAGGAACATTTCCTTTCCAAACATCATGCCAAAAAGAAGTAGCAGCCCCATTACCAACACGAATCGGAGTGAGGGAATGTAAGTCTAAGCCACGGTCACGGAGTTGAACTAACATCCGTATCAAACTATTCCAAGGCCCTGAACCAACCCTCAAGGGTTTCAAATCAACACAACCCCCATCAGAACCATAGATGACTTTAACAACCTGCACCCAAATGAGATCAGGATGGTGATAAAATCTCCACCGCCAACGGAAGATCATTGATCTATTAAACGAAAACAAACTCCCAACACCTAAGCCACCATTAGATTTAGGAGCCAAAACTTTAACCCACTTGACCCAGTGCATGCGTCTGTCATCCAAATCAGCACCCCAAAAGAATCTGGCTCGTAAGGACTCCAATAGGTCCTCCGTGACAGGAGTAGGGTAGACCGACATCAAGTAACTACCAATAGAGCCCAATACTGACTTGATTAAAGTCAATCTACCACCAAAAGAAAGGGTTTTATGTGACATCCCCTAATTTCTCGGCCAGAAAAGACCGATTTAATTTATGCTTTTAAATAAAGTCAGAGAAATTCTTTTAAAAGACGTTGCAGAATTGGTCCCCAAAACAAAACGTGATAAAAATTCATCAAAACCTTTCTTTAAGAAAGTATATATTTTCCTTTTATATCAAAACCTCGGGATGTCATGTTCCGATACATATCAAAAGCATAAACAAGACATTATAAGCCTTACAACAGTTATTTACAACTACTGGCCTATAATCCAAAAATCTCTCATCATCATCCGACTATGCTCGGGGTCCACTACTTGTAAGATAAAAAGCTGAGTGGGTCAGGCTTGGGAGCCTGGTGAGCATATAGGGTTATCAACCCACAATAAATAAATTTATTAATTTCATCAAACAACAATAACCCGATTACCCATTCCCGTTATCCTCACTTTACGTCCCTAAAACAACTATCACAAGGGACCTAGTCTAAGGATTTTCATCGGGGCGACAACACTGCTTAGGGGAGGGGGGGGGGGTTTCCCAGCAATTTATGTCAAATAAGGCAACCATGTGGGGGATGGAGTACAACAAATGAACATGCAAGCTCATTAACACCTACATGTTGCGAGCCTGCCAGCGTTCCACTGGACTGTCTAGAAAAGTCTATGGTCGTCATCCATACTCCGCTAGATGACTGGATCACAATAACATCGAGGCCTCTCATCATTTTATTTCATCACACATCAACTATCTACCCATGTTTTACCCAACATATTTGTAGATAAAAATACATATACAGTTTAATTTATTTAAAAATCTGTATAAATCATTCATTCATCATCCATCTCAAATAAATAAACAATATATAATCACATAGCACGTATTTTATATAAAATATTTCATATCTATGTGTAAGATGAAAGTGACTACACACTCACTTGATTTAATGATAATCGGGCAACACTTCGTTTCCTAAAACGATCGTTTCAAATAAAACCGGGAGTTTTATTGAGAAACCGGGCTCTACGAGGATTGGGCTTCAAAACCGAAAAGATAAATTTCTCGGGCTTCTCGGGCACTTCGGGGCGTGTTTCGGGTGTTTGGTATAATACCGGGGCTTTGGGGGAAGTTGGAATGAAAGAAATATGGGTTTAGGAGTGTAAAATGACAAATTTCCAAAATATACCCGGGAGGTCTCGCACCCTTCTATTTATAGGGGCGAGGCTTCTGATCCAAGGGCTGAGAAGACTCCACACGGCAGCAGATCCGAAGAGAAGGCAGGTGGCTCCCACGTGCGAGGGTCAGCTGTTGGCCTCTGATTGGACCGAGGTCTAGGTCCGAGGGTTGGGTCGTGGCGCTACGTGCGAAGCTCGGACACGTCAAGCAAGGGCACGCGTCGGACTCCTACTGGACCGCGCTTCGGATGCGAGGGCATGCGACACACCTCGCCAGATGGCTTCGGTGACTCAGCAATTTCGGACACGTGGCACATTATGAGCGAGGGTGACGTGGCCGAAGTCCCACCATGCGAAATTTCTCGGATTTGACATTTTTTCTCGATTTTTGTGCCAAAACTTCTAAAATCCATA